TTTGGACATGCTTTGTCAGTTGTCATTCAAACTTGGTACATAGATTATACATGTTAGGATACATGTCCATGACGATTTATTTCGCAATTGGATCAAAGATGGTCGACTGGCAGGCATCTTGTTTTGGTTTTTTTATGCGGTATCTTGGATATGCTCTGTCAGTTTTCATTCAAATTTGGCACATACATGTACTTTATACATGTTAGGATGCATGTCCATAATAATTTGTTTCAAAATCTGGTCAAGGATGGCTGATTGACAGCCATCTGTCTTTTTGGCCTTACTACTAAATTTCCACAATTTATGTACCATTTTCATTCGTATTTGGCACATACATCATACATATCAGCGTGTTTCATAATCAGATCAAAGATGGCCGAATAACGGCTGTTTTTATTTTTGGCCATATTGCTACTACATGGAACACGTGTTTTTATGTAAATAAACAATCTGTTGTATATGCCACTTGGAACTCAAGTTTCAAGGACACGCTCGCAACAACCCCTCTGCTTTAATATGACAAGCACAATGGGAACTTTCAAAAAATTTTTACGGGGACTGTGTCATTTTCAATGACTTGTTGGACTTTAGTACAACGCCATTTTTGTTTGATTACCTAACGTTTTTAGGTCCATGTGCTGTAAGTTACAGAGCACATACCTAAGCAGCCGTCCTTCGGCAAATAATGAAACAAAGGCATTTTCGATGTCAAAATCGCAAACTCTCCCTTTTTACGCAAACTGGGAAGTTCGAATTACTAAATGAAGTACAGGACGATGAAGCTCAGATATCCAAGAACCAACACACACCAAAAATTATATCTCAAAAGTGAATATTCGTGGTGTACGGTATATTAAGTCTAACCGGACCATAAGTTGGAATTTGTTAGTACTCTGAATATCCAAATATATTTTAGTATAAGGTAGTAAAATAGTGTTATAATTAATTGATTACACAAAAGCTTTATCTGGTCTCTGGGTTCTAATATTTCTATTTCTGCGATTTATGTAAATGGTAATCAATAAAATTGTGCATAGAATGTTCATAGATCATCAAAGAACAGATATCTTTTTTAGAGAATAATCTCATAATAATAAAGCAGTGCTTTTGAAATTGATAAGTACTATCAAGAAATATTGCAATGCTGAGAAATGTTTGAGATTGACAAAATGGGTGGTCTTATGATTTATTGAATACTACTAGTATTCCATAAAAATTTGTTTTTACAATCACATAACAATCTTATTTTGGCTTAGAGTGTAACATTTTTCACTTTGCTTTACTATATTTTAATGTTTAATAAAATGTTGATCAAAGTCTGTACAAATGGGAAATAAAGTGTATTTGCCTAAAATTAGGAAAGAAATGATAGAAACGTACATAAAAATGTACGAGAGATGTTGCACTAAAAATTGGATGGGGGAAAAAAATCTTGATATGGCAATATTGAAAATATCTGCACTTTATATCTTTTTTTTTTGCCTGATAAATTGTAATAAAGTGATATTTATTGAATGAAATCTTTAACCATAATTTAAAGTGTTTTTATTGTGTGTGTTATATCTCACAGGCATTGGAATGAGTTGTTGAGAAAAGAATGATTTTGTTGTTTTAGTCCAATATTTACAGAACTATACCCCCTCAGCTATAAATACTAAATTTCCAGGTATAATGTTCCAGCAAAGTGCTTTCATGTGTTTGTGGAGAGAGGGATTTCTGATAAGATACAAAACCATATGATTGGAGGGCTTTCTGATTTGATCCACAACCTTGTGATTCGAAACGTATTTCTGATAGATACAAAACCATGTGATTGGAGGGCTTTCTGGTTGGATTCACAACTTTGTTATTCAAAACAGATTTCTGATAGGATACAAAACCACGTGTAATTCAAGAAAGATTTCTGATCCTATACAAAATCGTGTGATTGGAAAGAAGGATTTCTGATTGCACATTATATTTCATTTTGACTAAATTGTTCCTCATAATTTGCAAACTCACAAATTAACATTACTCATGACACATCACAGTGTTTAATGTAAAATCAATTATTAATAAACCATTTTCACTTCAGTAACGGTATTATTAAATAGGCAGTATCTACAGAAAAAAACAAAAAACAAACAAACATTACATACAACTCCAAACTCTAATTTTGTATTTTTTGA